AAAGCCTATAAAAAAGGTACCAGGGGCATCTCGTGGGGCCCCCTACTGACCCCGGGCCCTCGGGCAGTGCCCGAGTTTCCAAATGGTCAGTCCGCCCCTGTGGGGAACTGAAAAAAGTACAGAGAAGGGCATGGAGGAGCTCAGCTATGAGGAACAATTAGAGGAACTGAATTTATTCTCTCTTGAGAAGAGGAGATTATGGGGGGATATGATCAACATGTATAAATACATCAGTTATTCACATAGTGAACTCGGTGTAGAGCTATTCATCCTGAGGTCATCACAGAGGACAAGGGGGCACTCTTTATGTCTGGAGGAAAATACATTTAATCTCCAAATATGGAAAGGTTTTTTCAGAGTGAGAGCTGTGAAAATGTGGAATAGATTCCCTCAAGAGTTGGTTCTGGCCAGCTCAGTGGATTGCTTTAAAAAAAGGCCTGGATTCTTTCTTAGATACACAGAATATAACTGGATACTAACATTTATAGGTAAAGTTGATCCAAGGAATATCCGATTGCCTCTCGGGGGATCGGGACAGAATTTTTTTCCCTGCAGGAGCAAATTGGATCATGCTTTCCAGGGTTTTTTTTGCCTTTTTCTGCATCAACTGTGGGTATAGGATTATAACTTTTTTTTTTTTTAACGGTTGAACTGGATGGACTTTTGTCTTTTTTCAGCCAGACTAACTATGTAACTATATATTGCTTGCTTGGTACCGCCTCCATTCACAGAACACCTTGTATTTTTTCAATGAAAGGCATTCTTTGATTGGACGAGGTGGGCAAGAGAAGTGATGCCAAAATCCTAACCTTGTCTAATAAGAGAATGCTTTCTATTCTTTGAAAAAATACAAGGCATTCTGTAAATGGCAGCAATGCCAGAAAGCAGCCCCATATGATCAGCATGCAAAGGGGCAGCACTCTGCACAGGACTGGGAGGATCACAGCAATCACTTTAGCAGCGATGACTGCTACAGTAATTGTTAGATTCCACAGTGGTCCTCCAGGTATGTTATGTGCATACGTACATTCTGCCAAGTTTGACCAATGTAGCTTCATAATTAAAAGTGGAACTACACTGCATCTGAGCATCACAAACCAAAAATGCTATTCAATTCATTTGTAATATTCAAAGCAAACTCCCCCATCCATCCATGTTTCCATACTTTATTTTACAGAGAAATAATTTTCAAAACCACCCCCTGGCATTTCTGGCAGCAACCATCTTGGGTAAGGGTGGGTGATTCGTGTATCATTTACTTCCTGGAATCCATCTGCCCTTAGCTCAATCATAGGCCAGACTGAGAACCCTCCCCCCCCCTGAAGACTCCTGGGATGTATGACATCATCTGCCTAGGCATGGAAGCCAGAAAGCAACTGAAGAAATATAAAAAAAAAATTAACACAAGTAAATATGATATACTTTCCTATCTATTTACTAATGCTAGCAGCACAAGGATTAAAAATAGTCCATGTTGTTTGGGAGAGTGAAGTTTCGCTTTAAGGTCATATCTTAAGTTCAATACCTCTAACCAAAAACTAACCACCAAAATAAAAAATCTGAAAAGTTTGACTTCCAAAACTCTTGTAATGCCATTCAACAACTCTTTGAAGCTGAAATACACTGCAACTGAGCACCACAAACCAAAACAATATTTGACTCATTTCTAATATTCAAAGAAAAAACTCACTCATCCATCCATGCTTTATTTTGCTAAGAAATCATTTTGAAATACACCCCCTAGCATTTCTGGCCATGGCCATCTTGAGTAAGGGTAGATGATTCATGTATCTCAACATGAAAGTGCATTAGCACGAGTACATCACAGTGTGTGTGTGAAATTTTGTGCACGTCCACAACAGATATTATTGCCAACCTGGATTCTGCATACACTTATTCCTGAATGGTCTTTCAGCTGAATCTCTGGGACCCATGATCTCTGATCCTGAACCTTGTGTCTGTCCTTCATTACTGATCTGGCTTCTGTCTTAAGCTGGCTATAGATGGATTGAAATTTGGCCGATTCAGCAAAGACAGGCTGAATTTTGATCTATCTATGGGCAGGCTGGTTGTACAGAAGTCAATCTCTCAACTGACTTCTGTACAACCAGTCTTTTGGAAAACGTTCACTGGATCAGTGCCACCAGCTATAGCCGTCAGTGCTGATGAGTGTATTCTGATGGCTAGGTAGCATGCCCACTGTCCGCAAACAATAGTTCCATGGGGGGGATTCCTCCAACCACCCCGAACGTGTAGATGGGGGAATCAATTTATTTTCTTTCATTCAGCCCACTGGTTGAATGAAAGAAAATTAATCATGTATGGCCTGCCTAACCTGCTTTGGATTTATCTTGTCTGCCAATGGTTGCTAATTATGTCTGTTACCGACTTCAGCCTGAAGTTCTGACCAAGACTCCATTCACCCACTTTGTAACTTGCTGCCTACACAGTGCTGACCTCTGCTTCGCTACTTGGCGGTTACAGACCCGGCCTGTGACCTGATTCCTTTTGTATTGAACCTGGTGCATCCTCAGTACATTGCCAGCTGTACTCCTGCACATCTGATACCTTGCTCCAGTCACCAGTCCCTGCACCTAGGCACTTGTATCCTTTCATCGCTCTTGCAGGCTCTGTTATAACCTCTAGGGGTGCTTGATTGAGCGTGCAAAATCTGCACAGAAACCAATCAGCTTCCAGGTTTTATTGCCAAAGCTTAATTGAACGGCTATAGTTAAAAGCCGATTGGCTACAATGCACAAGATTCTAAGTGCTCCAGTTTTAGTAAATCTCCCCCACAAACTACATGAGAGGGGCAATTCTGCTTGCCTGCCACACCATCACAGAAAGTTGAGAATGCACATAAAATTAAAGCAATAGTAAACCTCTAACATACATTTAATATATTACAGCTTACCATCTCTTAGGCTAGGTTCACCTTTATGCAGTTCCCTGCAACATTGTTTGCGTGAGCGCAGCTGCCCATTCATTTGAATAGGCTGCTGTACCTGTGGGAAATGCAAGAAAATCGTCCCTGACCTTTTTCAAAAACTGCATTTCCATACATGAGAAAATGTGCTGTTTTCCAATGCATGGGGGTGCCATTAATTCTTAATGGCACACCCGAGTGTGCTAAATATCACTGCATTTTTGCTGTAGTTGCCCACGAGTGTTTACTTGCCTTCCCACACCCGCAATAGTGGAAACCTAGCCTTAGATTTGGTTATTGCCTTTTTTTTTTGTTTTACTTTTTTTTACCTGGTGATCCAGCTAGTAAGTCTGTTGTTTCTTAACTTTGTTTAAGAGACCAAGCTTCCCAGCAAAAGGAGAAGTTACAGGGTTGAGACAAACCTTTTAACACTGAAAGGGGTGCTTACAATGGTCATCTTTTATTCATATATGTAAAACCTTTATCCCTAAAGGAAAGAATCTGGGAAACAATATGTTGCTGTAGCTACCTAAACAGTGTAAACCTTGTTTCACATCTGTGCGGTTGGTGCCACTGCAGGACCCGCACAAATACCTGCAGCCGCACCACCCACACAGAGGAATGCGGGACCCGCAGGCAGGTGCCATTAATTCTAATGGCACACCGCCCACACTGGAAATCGCAACAGTAATGGGAACCTCCGTTCCCGCGCGGGCTGCGATTTCCCAAGCAGTGTAGGGACTTCTTCCCTGCATGTCCTGGGGCACGGGAGTCCATTCAAATGAATGAGCTCTCGTGCCCGCACAAATCGATGCCCGCAGGGCCACATATATGTGAACCAGGAGTTAGCTGGAGCTCAGCTTTAATTTGTTAAGCAAGTCCAGCTAAAACTACTAGTGCATCTAACATTACCCTCTCTACAGTTGGACAAAGCTGCTGTGTAAAGGTGTCTCCATTGCTTCTCCAGTGGAGTAGAGACATTATTTGCTATAAATAATGCAGCACGTTTTTTAATGGGAGGCCATAGTTCTACATTAGGTCACTTCATTGTTGGAACAGAGAAAATGTATCTTGCTTGAACTCTTAAAGTAATAATTTGTATCCAAGCAGCCTTGGATGAACTTGATGAAAAGCCCTTTTTGTAACAATGACATTCTTCTGTTAATAAAGATGCCATTGTTAAAGAGCACCTATTATATATCCAAATCTATTCATATTCCGCCTGAAGACAAACTAAACCACAATGTATAATTATTGTCAAGCATACGTTTCATGTACACTGTCAACTAAAAATGCTCCTAGCGTTGTATGCATGAAAATGAATGGTAGAAGCAATGTCACTAAACTACAAGCAGAAATCGAGAGATAAGGCCGGTGTGCATGCTGGTTATAAAAGAGACACATGAATAAAGTTGGCCATACATTCATTTTCAAATGTTCGTATGAACATTCGTGATGAATGACGTTCAAAATGTATTTGAAAAAAGTTTGCTTTCAACAGTCAGTTCTGGAGTGAATGGACTTTCCTAAACAAAGACAACATATTTGTTTAACCAGAGTCCTGCCCTTAAACCAACTAAACCCCTTTTGGGTGTCCCATTTGTCCCATGTCTTTAACCATGTCTTTAGTCTACAGGACACTTATACCCCCTTCCTACCCAGGCCAATTTTCAGCTTTCAGCGCTGTCACACTTTGAATGACAATTGCGCGGTCATGCAACACTACTCATATGAAATTTTTATCATTTTTTTGAGACAGATAGAGCTTTCTTTTGGTGGTATTTAATCACCTCTGGGATTTTTATTTTTTGCTAAACAAACCAAAAACCACTGAAAATTTTGAAAAAAAAAGTTTTTTCTTAGTTTTTGTTATAAAATTTTGTAAATAAGTGATTTTTTTTTCCTTCACTGATGTGTGCTAAGGAGGCTGCAGTGATGGGCACTGATAGGCTGCACTGATGGACACTGATAGGTGGCATTGATGGGAACTGATGAGGAGGCACTAGTAGGTGGCACTGATGGGAATTGACAGGCATCACTGATGGGCACTGAAAGGCAGCACTCATATATGGCACTGATAGGCGGCACTGATAAGCAGTGCTGACTGGCACTGATAGGCGGCACTGACTGGCACTGTTAGGTGGCACTGATAGGTGGCACTGATGCGCACGGATAGGCGGCACTGATTGGCACTGATAGGCGGCACTGACTGACACTGATTGTCAGCACTGATAGGTAGCACTGACTGGCATTGATAGGTTGCACTGACTGGCACTGATATGTGACACTGAAAGGCAGCTCAGATGGGCATTGATATGTGGCATTGATGTGCACTGGTAGGCACTGATATGTGGCATTGATGTGGCACTGATGGGCTCTGGCAGGTGGCATTGATGAGCACTGACAGGTGGCACTTCTGGGGCTATACAGATCATCATGGCACACTGATCATCAGTGCCCTGATGACCAGTGTACATGTCCCCTCTGAGGGATGCCAATTACCGGCTCTCCTCTCCTCACGAGCTGTCAGCGTGACAGCTCGTGAGGAGAGAAATGCCGATAACTGGCATTTCACTTTTTACATGTGATCAGCTGTGATTGGACACAGCTGATCATATGACCGAGCCGACATCTTCTTCTCTTTCCCTTGATCAGTGATCCGCTGTGTCCGAGGGACACAGCGCACCACCGATCGTTGCGCTGCGTGCTCCCGGAGCCACACATGCGCGGTTAGAATGGGACAACGTCATATGACGTCCTCCCAGAACGAGAGAACCGCCTTGAGCCCGTCATTACCTTATATGGCGGGCGGGGGCGGTTAAGGAGGGTTGGGCTCCTCCCCAAGCAAATCTGCTCTTAATTTATCCATTGCTATATTTGCTCCAACTTGGGAGAGACTCTCAAAATTCTAGAGTTGGGACTGCAGTACACTGGGGTGCCTTGACGTGGCCACTGTGGCTTACACATATATTTGCAAATGTGTGTGACTATACCCCTTGTTTTTAACGTGAACTGTACAGAATCAATTTGGTTTTGTTGCAGGCTAGCTGGTAAGTGAGCTTGGAATTTTTGTTTGTGTTTGATGTGCATTACCTTGACTACTGCACCATAGATAGGCTTGTCCACTCCTACTTCCACCATTGCCTATCCATACCACCCTAAACCCCCCCCCTTAACCAAATAAACTTTATAAAAACATGACACCATTTTTGGAGTAAATGGCCAACATGGCCTTTTATTAACAACTTCACAATTTACATACATCAACCGTTCCTTAACGAAACCAAAGAATTGTTGTTGGTCTTCAAAGGCACCCACAAACGATCCAAAATGCACCTGCGGACAACCCTATACACTAGGCCTCCAGCCGCAACCAACCAGCTCGGAGACAATCATACCGTCCACAGTGCAGCACCACCACCTTCCAGCTAAACCTTGGTTAACTGGGAATATCCACCGGGCCCCCCATACCACGGATGGGGTCCCACACCATTGTTTTCCTTCCAAGATGAGAACCGCCTCCAAAGACCAACAATCGCCCACGAACCAACATAAAACCCACCTCACCAACCAGGGTTCTTTTGGTTTTTTTTTTTTTTTTTTTTTTTTTTTTATATTTTTTTCATATGAGCTCGAGTTACCCGCGCACCTGCCCCCGGACAAGACCCCATACCCAACCTAACAGGGAGGGCGGGAGGGAAGCTCTGGTCCTTGCACTCATCCAGCTGCACTGACGCCCCTTCCGCAGCAACCCCCACCCTACGGTGCCACAGACACCTCCTACACTCCACGTCTGCCAATCCAATAATTCCCAATCCCATTCCCCACCCCTTGGAGCTAAATTTTTTAACCCTTTCCATTCCCAACCACTCTGGGCTAGTCATGTATGCCCTGCGCTATTTACATTCTTCCCTATTCGCTACGGGCATTTCTTGACTACTGCACCATAGATAGGCTTGTCCACTCCTACTTCCACCATTGCCTATCCATACCACCCAAACCCCCCCCCCCTTTAACCAAATAAACTTTATAAAAACATGACACCATTTTTGGAGTAAATGGCCAACATGGCCTTTTATTAACAACTTCACAATTTACATACATCAACCGTTCCTTAACGAAACCAAAGAATTGTTGTTGGTCTTCAAAGGCACCCACAAATGATCCAAAATGCACCTGCGGACAACCCTATACACTAGGCCTCCAGCCGCAACCAACCAGCTCGGAGACAACCATACCGTCCGCAGTGCAGCACCACCACCTTCTAAAAAACAGCTAAACCTTGGTTAACTGGGAATATCCACCGGGCCCCCCCCCATACCACGGATGGGGTCCCACACCATTGTTTTCCTTCCAAGATAAGAACCGCCTCCAAAGACCAACAACCGCCACAGCACGCTGGGTAAGCCTTACCCATGCGTGCCACGCCACAAACGAACCGCCCGTAGAATGCGTCCTGCAGCTCCAGGGACCACAAATCCGTGCCCACCACATTCAAATGCACTCCATCACTGCAAAGGTACCGCCAAGTATCCACCTCCAACTCCACATGCCGAACCACCAATCCCCCATTACGACTAAAAAAGCGCCCCACCTCCCGGTTGACCTTAATCCTGGCCTTGTTTGAGCCGCTCCACCGACCGCCGCCAAGCGCCAAGAAGTGCGGGCGACCATGTCAGACCACACCACCACCACAAAAGCCCGGAAACTCACGCCGCAACTGAAGAAAATCCAGCTTGACATCTCTAACCAGCTCCCGCATGGACCTACCCCCCAAATCGTTGCCACCCGCGTGAATCACCAACACATCCGGTGGCCTATCCAGCCGCGCAAAACGCCGCACCTCTGGCACAACACGACTCCACAACATGCCCGGCACACCTAACCAGCGGACACAAACCTCACGTCTATCCAACCCCATGCCTGCCATTGGGCCGAACATCAGCCCGCCTGGCCCCCCCAAAAAACACATACGAGTGACCCAGGATCCACACCAGGCACACCGCTCCACCTGAAAGAAAAGAAACAATACCGCCAGAACAATACAGCACAGGGACAGAACCGCAACAACCTCCCACAACCCAAACAAACAAAACACAGGACCGCACACTAAGCCCGCAACAAATGCGGCCGAACGTACAGGCGAAATCTCTGGGAATCCCACCTACCAATGCGCTTCACCACATCCTCGACAGCCCCCACCTGGCCGCCTCCGTAGCAGCCCCTATCCGAAACGATAAAAAAACAATAAACCCCAATAAAATATCGAAGCATACAAAGATGCATCCAAACCAGCAGCCGTCAAACACCGGCGAAAAAAACCGCCACAAACTGAAAACGCGTTAAAGGGGAGCCATCAACATGCCTGAAAAAGGACCCCCCGCCCCCCAGGGCGACGGGACATAAATTCCCGAACCGCCTGAACAGGGCACACCAGTGAACCCGGAAGAGCGAAAAAAACGCACCTTCGCACCCCTGCCCAATTGATCCGTCTTAGACCGACGGACCAGAATCTCCACCCAATCACCGGAGCACACAACCTCCTCCACCAACAACCCCCCAAGAACCGACTTGGACGGACTAACGAGCTCCCCAATGCGCAAAGCCCCAAAAAAAGCCACCGCAAAGGCAGCCCGAAATAAAACCACCTCAAAATCCGAAGAACACACAGTCCGCAAAAGCTCAAACAAAGACCCCAACAACGGCGAACGACACGGACGACGAGAATCCCTACAACGATGAGCCCTCCGATAACCCCGCAAAGCCTGTCGAACCCAAAAATCCTTAGTAAAATCCCGACACCCTTGCAACTTAAAGAAAAACGCCAATGCCGCTAGACGGCGATCCACTGCGGACGCCGACACCCCCCCCGCTCCAAACTCCGCCCAAGAAGTACAACACCGCCACACGCACCTCGGCCCCCAGGGATCAATAGCTACCAGCCCCAACAGCTCCAGCCATTCCCGCCAGACCGTAGAGTAAGCAGACCAAGTCGCCCCACTCACCGACCGCCGGATCCACCCGCAACTACTCCAAGGCAATCTCCCACAGCCCAGTCGGGACAAGGAACCCCGTGTTGCTCCGCCGCGGCGCCAACTCCGGAATTTGTCCCACTGAAAAACGAGACAAAGCGTCAGCTAAGGTGTTGTCACCCCAGGGAGATGTACCGCATGGAGAAAAACATTCAGCTGCAAGCAACGCAACACCAAGTGGGGAAGCAGGGCCACCACCGGTCGGGAAGAAGCCGAGACCTATTGATGACCTGAACCACCCCCAAATTGTCGCAGTGAAAACGCACCTTTTTGATTCCGAAAATTCTCCCCCAAAACTCAACCGCCAAAAACCACTGGAAACAGTTCCAACAGCGCAAGATTAATGAGAAAACCTGCCTCCCGCCAGGAAGCGGCCACGAGGCCGCACTCCACCCCGACCCCGGAAATAGGCCCCGTATCCCGCAGAAGCCGCCGCGTCCTTTAGTGAACAGCTCCAAGTCAAAATTACTAACCGGCGCCCGAACATCCAAAGCGCCCGGCCGTTGAAAGAATCCAAAAAGGGATGTGCCACAACTGCAAGTCCTCCCGATGCTCCCGAGTCAGCCGAATGAAATGAAAAGGGGAGGCAATACCCTCCGTCAGCCGCCGCCAACCGGCGGCAGAACACCCGACCCATCGGCAGGATCCGACAAGCAAAATTAAGTTTTTCCCAACAATGACTGCAAGGGCCGCAGCTGAATTTTACGCTTCCCTGAAACCGCACGAATTTCACCCTGAAGGGCCAACAGCTCTCTTCCGGCAGCCGGCACTCCATGGCGCCAGCATCCAAAACAATGCCCCAAGAAAGTCATCACCCAGAAGCCGGGACCCTCCGTCTTGTCAGCCGCCAAAGGAATCCGAAACGGTCTGCAACGTGCTGCAACGTAGCAAGCAAAACCGCGCACGGACCCCGGAAGCCGGGAGGACCCCACGCAAAGAAAATCATCCAAATAATGGATGACCGAATTCACCCTGAAACATCCCGAACCACCCATTCCACGAACGAACTGAACTTCTCAAACAGCGCACAAGAGATAGAACACCCCATGGGCAAACACCTATCAACGTAAAACGCGCCCTGCCAACGGCAACCCAAAAAAACGAAAACTGTCCGGATGAACTCTGGCAACAGCCGGAACGCCGACTCAATGTCGGACTTCGCCATGAGGGGACCGCGCCCATACCGACGAACCCAGAAACACTGCCCGCATCAAAAGGACCGTGTAAGACACCGAACACGACACCGGATCTATAGCGTCATTCACCGACCCCCCCTTAGGGAAGGACAGGTGGTGAATTAACCGAAACGCATTCGGCTCCTTCTTAGCCACAACCCCCAAGGGA